GAACTCTGCAAACATTCAGACAATGGTGAGAACAGAATCCTGTGGATATTGAATAGCACTTGGTATGCTACAAACTTCAGTCAGTATGTTTCCTAGGAGGGAAATGATGGCTGGAAAGCCTTATTGAAGGGGAATAAAAGGGCATATTTGGGATGTCAAGTTGTTGAGTATACCATATTACATATAAAGCTTGCTTTGAGAAAGACTATAAGGATTTTGGCATGATTTTTGAAGCTAAATGTGGCTGATGAAAATTTTTCTATATACCTGAGATAATAATTTCAAGCACATAGACTCAAGTGGAATCTGTATGCAGATGTTGACTCAAGATCAGATTGACACTATCTGCTGCTGCATGCATCTTTCTTTTAAACCAATAACAGTATGATCATTACAAGAATAGCAGCAAACAGAAAGTAAAAAAAAAGACTGGCCTTCAAGAACAAGTCATTACCAGAAAAAATTGCTTCAGGAAAACCCAATTGCAAGTTATTTTAGAATAAATTTAAAGCAAATCTAAAGGAGAAAAAAAATAACATCAGGAAAGGAGGAGATAATAATAGAAAATAACTTCAGGAAAATCCATTCTTAAATTATTCAGAATAAATCTGAAGCAATTAAGGAGGAAAATAACAGAAAATTACATTAAATGGAGCTCCACCTTGCAACCAGAAGATCCTCTTTTCCAGGAGAGGCCAGTGCCTCATCTAACAGCCACTCCCACTAGCTACTCCTGTCTGCCACAAGGCCCTTTTAGTTGCTCACTTCAGATCCCAGAACATTTTTTTTCGTCACACTCTCCAATTCCCAAGCCCCTCTGTGCTTAAATGTTGAGTCTGCAACAAAGCCTATAGTTTTGTTTTGTTTCTTTTGTTATAAGGACTCTTCCATTGAACATCCGCAATAGTGCTGGTGTAGACCTGCAATAGCTGCCATCTTTGGGCACTTGCTACGTTCTTGGTAGAAAGCCCCTTTATCTGTTATCTAAATTAATCTATTAACTAGATGCATTCCTTCCCTATTATGGAGCTGTTTTCAGGGATCAAAGTTCTTTAAATTGTTATTTGCTATGAGCAGTGTTGATCACACCACAGTATCCCCCTAAAATATGTTTTGGGGACAGTTCTCATAATCTTTTTTGGGGGGATTGAACACAGGGGCACTTGGCCACTGAGCCACATCCCCATCCCTATTTTGTATTTTTTTAGAGATAGGGTCCTACTGAGTTGCTTAGTGCCTCACTTTTGCTGAGGCTGGCTTTGAACTCATGATCCTCCTGCCTCCATGGAAGGAATTTACTATTTAATACTTGGAATTCACTGGCACAATGTGTCTGTAGAAAATGAAATATATTTTGGTAATTTATGTTGATACTTTGTACTCTTTTAATAAAGGGGACTTTTTTCTTTCTTTTCTTGTTCTCCCCCCCCACCACCCCCAAAGCCTAGTACTTAGAAATACTCCAACTCAGAATGTTTTCTTTAATTTTCCTATTTAATTTTTATACTTCCATAGTTATTAGGAGCTCATTACATGCAAACTAGACTGTTTTTTTTTTTTTGTATTGAGCATTGATCCCAAGAGTGCGTTACCACTGAATTACATGCCCAATACTTTTTGTTTGTTTATTTTTCATTTTAAGACAGGGTCTAACTAAGTTGTTGAGGGCTTGCTAAACTGCTGAGGTTGGCTTTGAACTTGTGATCCTCCTGTCTCAGCCTCCCAAGTTACTGGGATTACAGGTGTGAGCCACCATGCCTGGTCAATCTGGACGATTTTAATAAAAAACTATCCAGACAAACCTTTCATGAAAGTTTTTATTAATATATAACATATGGTATAATAGTCTAAATTTATTTCATTTAACACTGAGATCTAGTGTATATTCTTTTTACAATAAATAGAAATAATAAGTCTTCTTGCTTCTCTCTCTCTCTCTCTTTTTTTTTTTAGGCGTCAAACAATTTCATTAATGAGTCAGTATCAAAAAAATGCTGTGGACCAACAATTTTTTTTCCTTTGAAGCTTGATATATAAGAAAAATTTTACTCTCATATCAAATTTAGAGTTTTTAAATGGAAACATAATTAAGGCATTTAGAAACCTGTTAAGTATAGGTTAAATGTCAGTCAAAAGAGTACTACTGAAATGGAAATCATTGAAAATATGTTGCTTTCCCCTGAAAGTCACAGATTACGACCTTTGAAAACCTGTTATGTATGTTACTCTGGCAGAAGAAACTAGCTGATGACTAAGTAAGAGATATGTTAAGAGTTTCCTACACACTGTTTAATACACAATACAGTACTTCTTATTAGTAATAAGGAGAAAGGGAAGACTAATGGAAAAAGGGACAGAGAGCTGCCAGACTGAATTCCCCAATAACTGCAGACGAAGTAACAATCTAGCACTCAAAAAATGCTACTGGTGATTTATAAAAGAACCTTTCTTTGTTGGACAAAGTGGGAAAAGTGCACATGAATGCTTCAGTAATTGAAAGACATTAGAATTATCCAAGAGAAGCAAAAACTAAGCTTAAATTCAAGCCATTCCCTCAAAGGCTGGGAGGATACTGCTTTCCCTTCGCTAGCAAGAAAAGCCTCTGTTTTCTCAGTTTACATAGTTAATTCTACCACGAGCAACAGATTTTCATTTGCTCTCTACATATAAAAAAGTATTTTAAGAATGTCAGATGACTGCTCTCTTTTGCGTTTCCACTCTTTTCCTTTCAAAATGTCTATTATTGCTTGTGGGTCGGGAAGAGGAGTTGGAAACCAAATTATTAATGCAACAGAATGCTTTGTTACCAATGGCACAATCTTGTAGACATTTACACAGGTAATTTTAAGAAGTCATAATCTTTAGGTGAATGTATTTCTGACTTTTATTCATTTTATTGTTTCTATGCAACCCACAGATATGCCAAGTTCTGCTTAATTCAGCCCTGACAAATTTTCCTTGTTCCTGGTAGGAAGTTCTACATCTTGCTGTTGAACCTGTGATGAGTAGTGGCATAATGAACAATTGGTAACTTCAATCTGTCCTCCACAAAAAACGAAAAACAAAAACAAAAAATATTTTCATCTATGTTTGTGAAAATGATATATTTTTATTTTGCAACAATCTAGCACTCAAAAAATACTACTGATGCCGGGTGCAGTGGCACACACATGTAATCCCAGCAGCTCCAGAGGCTGAGACAGGAGGATCTAGAGTTCAAAGCCAGCTTCAGCAACAGTGAGGTGCTAACCAACTCAGTAAGACCCTGTCTCTAAATAAACAGAAAATAAGGCTGGGGATGTGGCTCAGTGGCTGAGTGCCCCTGAGTTCAATCCCTGGTACTAAAATAAATAAATAAATAAATATTTTATAAATCATCAATTTATTTATATTAATAAACCATCAATTTGTTTATATTATATATAATATAAAAAAATTGATGATTTATAAAAGAATCTTTCTTTGTTGGACCAAAGATAGTGGAAATTCTTTAGAAAATTATAAATGCTGTGTATTTCCATATAACTTCCCTTTGGGATGTCTTAAAATAATAAAATAAAAAGAAATGTAATTTATATATTGTATAAAGCACTCTTATGCCCTGTGAATTTCTTATTAGGGCACAAGTTTCAATGATTATTTTATAAATTCTTTACAATGTAGGTATTTTTTTTTACTTCAAAGGATAGCTATCCATTATTCAGTTATTTGATCCAGCTTATTGAATTCTGACTTTATGGACTCTGCACCTTTCATGGTTTGAGCTATTTGCAATTCTGTAAGTTGTAGATAACAAATAGTAATGCAAAATAATTTTTGTCTATAGACAGAAATAAATTATGTCTAGTGGAGCTTCAACTGACTTCTTTCCAATATTATAGAAAAATCCAGGTTTGCTTCTATTTGTACATCATTTAAATTTTCCTGATCTTTAGATGCCTTTGTTCTTTGGATAGATATTTGAATTGGTGGTAATATCTTACTAATGATAATAACTTAATTAAAAAAATAAATTGAATACAATGATTAGCACTTGTTTATTTTTTATTTATATTATGATTTTACTTTTAGTTGTTTGAAAAATTATTTTTCAATAAAAATATAAAGGAAAAGTAGGATTTTGAATTTAAATTTTTGAAATCAAATGTATATTATTGCTGATTTCACAGGTGAATTACCAGCTTCTTTTTCTTTCTTTGTTTTTTTCTGTGATATATTTTACTCTTTTAACTTTCATTCATCTATCATTTATTTATTTATTTTTTCTGGATATTTTATTTTATTTATTTATTTTAAAAATTTATATATGACAGCAAATGCATTACAATTCTTATTACACATATAGAGCACAATTTTTTATATATCTGGTTGTATACAAAGTATATTCACACCAATTCGTGTCTTCATACATGTACTTTGGATAATAACGTCCATCACATCTGCCATCATTTCTACCATTTACTTTTTTAACTCCAAATAAGTGTTTTGATGAGTGGACGATCGATGCAACAAATTACAATATAAATCTGTGCTCCCCAAGGTTAAAATGCACAAACAAGCCTGTCAATTTTTAACCACCATTGAAAAAATGATATATTTTAATTTTGGCAACAACTTAATCCTCAAGAAACATTGATGATTCAGCTACTTGGGAGGCTGAGGCAGGAGGATCACAAGCTCAAAGCCAGACTTAGAAAGCTAGTGAGATCTTGTATCAAAATAAAAAATAAAAGTAGCACTGGGGATGTAGCTCAGTGGTGCTGTGCCTCTGGGTTCAATCCCAGTATTGGAAAAAAATAGTAATAATTTATGAGAGAACTTAACTTTGTTGCATCAGAGACCTGGAAGCTCTCAAGACAATTATAAGTAATATATATTTTTCACATGCCTCTCTTTCAGAGGTTTATATTTTGATTGAAACCACTCATAGAAATCATTACATTGTTTTTAAAAGTAACATTTCATGATATCCAATAAGTAAAAACAGTTTTTTTACTTACTGTGCCCCACCAGAGAGCATCTGCATATGTAGAAAACTCCTTATTTGCATCCTTTTCCACCAGATAGACAAGGAAAGATGAAAATATAAGAACCAAAAATCCTATGTACCAAGCTGTGATTAATTCCTAAATATAAAAGGAATGAAAGATTTTTAGAAGCAAAAAACTGAAAAAAGGGGGAAAATCTACTCATAATTTCACTTACTTTACTACTTTTTAGATACTTATTCTATTCTTTAAATAATCCATTACCTACCATGTCCCTAAATTGCTTTAACTATCTTTGAAATGACTAATTTTGCTTGTGATAGGTTTATTAAATATTATTATAGTTATCAATAAAGTGGTTCAAAAATTTTGTTCTAAAACCCAGAAAACAAATCTTACCTTGCTGTGTGCATAAACTACCGAACCTAGTAATTTCCAAGTGCCTCCTCTCCGGTCCATGCGCACCATACGGAGGATCTGTAGGAAACGGAGACTTCTGAGTGCAGACGTGGCGAAAATATTACCCTGAGTTTTTGCTGAAACAACTGCTATTGAAGCAATAAGAACAATGGTATCTGAAAGAAAAGGTTGAGACAGCCATCAGTTGCATGACTAAGAATTTTTATTTCTCAAAACATTATTTCTAAAAGGTTCACTTGGGCCTGTTTGAGGCACAAATAGATAAACAGATCTCCAACTCTAGCCTTTCCTAGAGCTACTTGGGTTTCCCCTAGTGGTTGAGAGTGACAGGACTCATCTAATGCTAAGTTCTGACTTTTGGTCACCTTGAGCTTTACCCATGCAATTTTGAACTACATACTTTGTAACCTCTAGTGAACTGAACAATGGCTTTCAGGCAGTTCAGTGTTTCCACACTGACTGTAGGGCAGTCTTCCAAAATACTTCTGAGCTCATTAGCATTCATGTCTGCAGAAAGAAGCTCCTGCCTCAGCCCCTATCATATTCACCTCTCCCTGGTTCATGTGGTAGAGGCAAGACAACCAATCCAGGTGTAAAATGCTGCTTGCTTGGTGTAATGTTTATTTTCTTGCCAAACACTTTGTATCTCTTTTATGTCCCAAATTCCTAATGTTGTGAAGTCTGCAGTTTTGCATATTGTTAAACAAAGGCCTCCACTAAGCTGAATACTGGAGGCTTCTCTATACAGTATTCTTTATACCTGGTCTGTCAGTGCGTGAAAGTCTGGTGCACAAATTGAATAATATTACATTTGTTACAATAAAGTATGTAATTATAAACAAACGGTATTTCCTGGGAATGGACGTTCAATGTTTGACATGTTGACATTTGGCTTAAAAATATCTGCCCTTTTGTAAGCAAAAAGGAGACAAAGAACAGCTAATGAAAGCATAGAAAAGATAAAAGAGGACTTAACCACTCCATGAGTAAATATCTTGAGTGATGAGAAATAGATTTAGAAGTGGCAAAATGAAGTGGAGATGAATGATCACCTGTGGCTATTTTAATTCCTTAGCTTGACCTTAACATCTTCAAACAAAATTTCTTTCCTGTTTCAAGTGAGTTGTGCATTACTGTACTTCCACTCACCAAAGAACCAGTTCCACTTCAAAGGTGTTGCATTTGTCATGTTTTCATGATTCTCAGGATTGGCTATTGTGTAAATGTGTATAATTCATTCAGCTCATACTTTTCCCTCCACTCAGAAAGATCTGGTCTCTTGGAGCCAATTGTCAACATCTTCTGAACTGTATGGGTGCCCCCTTTTTGGGCCAGTGCATGAAGAAAGGGGGTCTGAGATTGACAGTGTATGCATCAGTCAAAGGGATTTTCCCAGTCAGATCGAAACTCTATGTAACTTTGTGGATAGGTGCCAGAGAACCCCAAAGGCATCCTTGAGTTCCTGTTCTAGGCAACTGTTGGAAATAATAAGGAACTAAATGGATTGTATCAGACACTGAGAACATATTTTCAGTGAATAAAATTCAGTTTCTTGTTTGCTAATGACATGATCCTATATGTAGAACACTTGAAAAACCTCCACCAGCCGACTTTTAGAACTGACAAATTCAGCAAAGTTGCAGGACACAAGATATTATGGGTTAGATATGCAATGTTCCCCCAAAACCTCATGTGAGACAAGAATTTTCAGAGGTGAAAAAATCAAATTATGATAAGAATAATCTAATCAGTGGTTTAATCAAATCATATGGATTAACTGGGTGGTAATTGTGGGCAGATAGTGTGGGGCTGGTGGAGGTTGGGTACTGGGGGTGTGACTTTTGAGTTTATATTTTGCCCCTGGTGAGCAGAGCCCTCTCTCTGCTTCCTGGTTGCCATGTTTTGAGCTGTTTTCCTCTGCCATGCCCTTCTTCTATGTGTTCTGCCTCATCTTAGGACCAGAGCAATGGAGTTGACCTTCTGTGGACTGAACCTCTGAAACCATGAGCCAAAACAAAATTTTCCTCCTTCTTCCTTTACATTGTTCTTGTTAGGTCTTTTGATCACAATGATGCAAAAACTGACTAAAACACAAGAGCAACATACCACAAAAAAAAAAAATCAACAGCATTTCTATACTTCAATAATGAATCTGCTGAGAAAGAAATCAGGAAAATTTATTTCAATTCACAATAATCTCAACAAACAAACAATCAAACAAACAAACTTGGGAATCTAACTAAGGAGTTGCAAGACCTCTACAATGAAAACTAAAGAACATGAAGAAAGAAACTGACAAAATTTAGCAAAGGACTCCCAACTACTTGCCCATGGAGGTCTTGCAATGCCTTAGCAGGATCACCAGCATCAGCACTGGTGCAGAATTCCTGGACACCACTCCCACAAAGGACACTCAGCCGCTACCCACATGCAGGAACTCTGGCTGCCACTCCTTTGTGGACCCCCATCTACCAACGTGGAGCCCCCCTGGTCACCTCCATCTTGGGACTCGGCAGCTACTGCCGTAGTCCCCTACTCACAGTAGCCTGCCTGCACCTGGGGACATCACAGGCTCTGAAGAAAGCTGATAGCCACAAGACTGCATGCCATAGAGAGCTCATCTTTGAGTGCACTGCACGGTGCCATCGCCCAGCTCCCCCCACCCGATCTGACACCCCATAGTTGAAAACAGCTGCCTTCATCTTGATTCACCTCCATCACCATCTTTAGTATGTGCAATTACCAGTTTGGAATACTGGACAGCCAGGTACCCATAGTTTTCTAATCACCTCCAATCCCCAGCAGCCGCTAACTCAGCGGAGTGACTGCCCAATACAAAATAGTGCTCCGTGACAGGTGCACAGCCACCAGAGTACAATACACAAGACCCCCGGAGAGAAATGTTCCTGATTAGGAAAGGGAGAGAGTGAGGGAGATACACTTTAGAGACTAATTTAGAGGGCAGGAACTGTTAGGTCTACAGGTGAGATGAGGAGATAAGACCTGGCTCCCACATCACAGGAGGAGACCCCAAAGGAGATCCTTGAGGTGCAGTCTCCGAATGGGACCAGCGGGTGCCATACTCCACTTCCAAGTGCTCTGCACCCAAGACCAACCCTCACACCCTGGTAACCCCCACCATGCAAAGGGTGGAGATAACAACTAAGAACAAACAACCCCGCCATTGGATGAGAAGGGAAGCAAGAAAGACACTGATCTTCAACCAAGACAATCCTTGTTTCTTCCTTTGAGTTTTTTTCTTTCTTTCCCCTCTTTATTCTTCTGCCCTCACATCCCCAACATACGTGAAACCAAGTACTTTGCATGAATTAGGATATTGAGGAGAGAGACGATTGAATAGTATATTACAGTTGTGTTGTATATTCTTTTTTTCTGTCTCCAATTTTTACTATTTTAACTTTTCTTAATATATATTTTTTTTTTGTCTTATGTACTCTACTGTCTTCCCTATTTACTTGTCTACACCAAATTGCTACCTCTCTATTCTCCTGCTACTAAACTTATTCTTTAGATTTCTCTAACACACTTCCCAAAATATAATAACTCTATATCCTCATCTCATACATCCTCAGTATATCTTCCTACCCCTCACCACTGGTTTTTTTGTCCACCATCAGAAACTGTAAACCCTTTTACAAACCTACTGATTATATTGTAGATAATAATTGAATTCACCAATCCTGTATATTGTTACCAAACTGTAAACATCTTAATAACAACTATTTGTTTTTAGGTGGTATTTTGTTTACATTGGGATCTATTAACATTGTCCTTCACCTCACAGGAGAAGTACTGGAACCCCACAAGGGCACTAGAAGCCTATACGGTAAAAACAGTAACACCTCAGATCTACAGAGCTAGAAAGGAAGACATACAAGCAGCATGAAAAGACAAGGGAAGAAAGTGCCCCAAACAAATCAAGATACCACTTTATTGGAATCCATGGCCAGCACAGCAGATGAAATGACAGAGAAGGAGTTCAGAATGTACATAATTAAAATGTTCTGTGAATTAAAGGATGATATAAGAAAGCAAATACAGGCAGCAAAAATCATTTAGACAAATACATAAGCAAATACAGGAAGCAAAAGATTACTTCAATGGGGAGATAGAGATTCTAAAGAAAAACCAAACAGAAATCTTTGAAATTAAAGAAACAATAAACCAAATTAAAAGTTCAATTGAAAGCATCACCAACAGAGTAGACCACTTGGAAGAAGGGATCTCAGACAATGAAAACAAAATATGTAATCTTGAAAAAAATGTAGACCACACAGTGAAAATGGTTTCATCAGCAGAATATTCAAGAAATATGGGATAGCATAAAAAGACAAAATTTAAGAGTTTTTGGGATAGAGGAAGGCATAGAGTTCCAAACCAAAGGAATGAACAATCTATTCAACAAAATAATATCAGAAAATCTTCCAAACATGAAGGATGAATTGGAATACCAAATTCAAGAGGCTTACAGGACACCAAATGTACAAAATCACAATAGATCCACACCAAGGCACATAATACTGAAAATGCCTAACATACAGAATAAGGAGAGAATATTAAAAGCCACTAGAGAAAAGAATCAGATTACATATTGGGGGAAGCCAATTAGGTTGTGTGAAGATTTTTCAACCCAGACCCTGAAAGCTAGAAGATCCTGGAATAACATATATCAAGCTCTGAAAGAAAATGGATGCCAACCAAGAATTTTGTATCCAGCAAAATTAAGCTTTAGATTTGATGATGAAACAAAAATCTTCCATAATAAACAGAAGTTAAAAGAATTTACAGCTAGAAAACCTGCACTATAGAACATTCTTGGCAAAATATTCTATGAAGAGGAAATGAAAAACAAAACAATGAAAATCAGCAGAGGGAGGTATTACACTAAAGGAAAAGCTAATCAAAGGAGAAACCAACTCAAGTTAAATAACAAAAATAAGCAAAAATGTCTGGGAATACAAATCATGTCTCAATAATAACCATGGCCTAAACTCACCAATCAAAAGACATAGGTTAGCTGATTAGATCTAAAAACAAACAAGCAAGCAAACAAACAAATAAACAAAAAAACACAAAAAACACCCAACAATATGCTGCCTCCAAAAGACTAATCTCATAGGAAAAGACATCCACA